TACCATAGCATACCATACCATACCATACCATACCATACCATACCATACCATACCATACCATACCATTTCTCAACACACCGCGCAAGTAGCTGTTACTAATCTCTATGTGTGCCGACGAACAATGTGTCATTACCACCTGTGTCATGAAAATCTTGTGTAAGCCACGATATTAAAGCCAAGACGAACACATCTTTGGGCTGGTCGGTTTGACGTCGGCTCTTTCCCAAAGTATTAAAGACCTCTCAGATTCGGGGGGTATTTTGTGGCGCTTTACAATACAAAACAACAGTAACTTAGGGAGAATAATCTCATGGAAAGCGAGGGAGACAAAATAAGAAGTGCTTAAATTGTGAAACATTTATAAATAGAACAAACAGAACGGGACCACTGAGATTCTTTGGCCACATAGAATTAAATAGACTAAAGGAACAATTGCTTTGTGGAAAGATAGAGGTGGGGGTGGAGAGAAGAAGAGCTGAATACAGAGAACGGCATACACATCTTCGGACACTTTTGACCTTTGGCTCCACCGGTCAATCCAGGAACAATTTATGCCAAAGAAACATGCTTCATCATTATTGTAAGCCATTTAGGTATCACCACTGGCGGTATCAGTGTTGTGCATTTTCACGTTTTAATACCACAGATACCCTTAGATGTCCGAAACCACCCCACTCTGCGGGAGACATTGGACAAACGTAAGGAAAACTTCGGACGAAGACATGTTACTTCGGGCAGTGTGTTTCATGTATCAGATATTGTATTATATATATATATATATATATATATATATATATATATATATATATATATATAGATATATATATATATATATATATAGAGAGAGAGAGAGAGAGAGAGAGAGAGAGAGAGAGAGAGAGAGAGAGAGAGAGAGAGAGAGAGAACGAGAGAGAGAACAAGCGAGAGGGAGAACGAGCGGGTTAGATCATTTGGGAGCCGGGCATCAACCCTGCCTGTAAGGACCAACCCTTGCTCGTATTTGATAAAAATCATCCCCTCTTGAGAATCGAATTCGGGTTTTCTCTGTGCGAAAAATAAGCACCCAAGTGCCATACCAAAGACACAAGTAAAGACGGCGTGAAGAAGATGCACATTCGTTGAAAATCGAAATATGGAACAGTAATCTATCAGAAGTTTAGCTGGGTGAATGCGGGCAAATGCAAGAGATTCCGACAATTTTTTGTCACTGATTTCGTTGATTGTTTTTTATTGCATGACGTCATGGCCAAAAATATACCTCTGGTGATTGGAGTGCGCCACTCGAGGTATGTATTCTCTTTTCAGAAGATAAAAGAGTTGGGGTTTTTAAGGGGGGGGGGAGGGGTGTCAACGAGTCTACGACACAAAAATTCTTTGCAATGCCTTCAATCATAGCAGTGTAAAATCCAGAAAAAAACACCAACAAAACAACGATGCCTAAGATTACTGAAATAGACATTATGCTATGAAGTCGATGGTCTTCACAAAAAAACAAGCATAAGAAAGAGTGCTTGTTTATCTGCAGACAATTAAAATAACACTTCTTTAACAAAATAAGACACACAAACACACACACACACACACACACACACACACACACACACACACACACACACACACACATACACACACACTGACAATAATAACAACAACAACAACAACAACAACAAACAGAAAGAAATGTTATAAGTATTCGTTTTATTCAAGGATCATTGCTAGACCCAAAATTTCCCAGGGCTAATCGTTTTAGCTCAAATCATGTCTTGGAATAAAACTCTGACGTCATCAACGTTAAGGTTCATGTCGTTGTGGTCCAGAATCCAAGAATCCCTTCAGGTGTGCTGTCAGTTTATTTGCCTGCCGGTGCTGCTCCTGGAAGAAAACATGAACATGTGAAGGGTATGTTTAACTCATGACGGCTATATATGTGTTTCATTCTATAGACTTGTACTCCCGGACCGCGCACTGTCATGGTCATCCTTCTTTGCTCAACCGCCTCCCCACCCCAACCCCAAAATAAATCAATAAAAAAAACAAAAAAAAAACAACCTAAACAGAAAACACCAACCTCCCTCCCCCCTCTCCCATTCACCCCCCCCCCCCTCCCTGTCGCCGGCGAATACAAACAGAGGAAGTCATTTCAAAAGCAGAATACTACCCCTCCCCCCTCCCCCTCCCTCGAGGCGGAAATTAAGTTCGTAAAGTGCTGAGCAAGTGAATCTTTACAAACATGGACTATCAACAGGGTGGGGGGGG